CGCGGGATTTTAATGGGCAAAAAACGTCTACGTTCGATTAAATTTAATATCCCATCAGGATCGATTGCATCAACGGCGATTAGCGTGGTTATTCCCCCTGCGTGACAATGTTTTCCGATCGTTTTTCCTCCGCGTGTCCGACGCTTCTGAAGTAATAGAATCTCGACGATACGTTACGCAATGAGAGAAACAAGTTGTTTCAATCTCGTGCTCGTTTCGCACGACCCGCGCTTCAAGGAGGACATGCGACAAAATATATATTCAATTGAACAGAGACAACGGCGCGATAACATCGCGAGAGAACACGACGGACGCGTCGAGTTCCTCTTGCTTTCTTCGATTTCTTCTCCTTTCCGAATTATCGAGATCTTCGCAAGTTGCGCGACCGGGATTCGCGAGCAGCCTAAGCGATACGAACTCGCCCACGCGACGTTAATTGATCTCACTGCATATTCGCGCAGCTTTGCGTTAATTGGAGCGAAATACTCAGCCCCCTTTGCGGCAATAAGAGAATTCGATATCGGTGTATCGATATCTAATGAAGAAACACGCACGCAGACACGTGCACGTATAATGCGTCGTCGGATTTCTTCGAGCGTGTCGCTCATTTCCGTGCGGGGATCGTGCAAGTCGCGAATCAGACGCGCGATCTCGCGCGTCTACAATGTGTGTAAGTTCGGTCCCTTCCTCAATTCACCTTTCGTCTTCCATAATAATATTAATGAGAATCGATTTTGAGGCCGAGATGCGCGCTATCGCCTCTTCTTCGAGAAGATGTATACATATATAAACAGTGTTTTGTACATATGTACTTGTCGACCACCGTGTATATGTGTCTCGGTGGGTCAGTGGGACCAAACGTCGCCGAGAGATCGTCTCGGCGGGACCAGACGGCGCCGTCTCCTAATTAGATACCTTCTTTTTCTACGGATATTAATTGTTACACTAGCGAATGCTTAAGTTATTAACAGTTGCCATGTCGCCTTACGCGCGTTGCGAAACTGCGTCTCCTTTCCGCGGACTAATACGACTTGCTCGAGGGCGATCGGTCCCTCGTGATCGCACGATCGAGCTTTTAACGTCGAAAAGGAAGAAGGGGGGCGGGAGCGGAGGGAGGGGGAGCATTTTCGTTTACTTTCTGCAGGAAAGTACGTGCGAGTGAATTCCAAGCGTGTTCAACATTCCAAAAATCCGATCGATGCGCGATTTCGCATCCGCAACAATCGGACGCGTGTAATTCCCTCCTCGGCAAGATGTACACGGCCGACGATTGGAAAGACGCCCACGGCGCCGCGGTGGGTTTCGTGAAATCGTTTCACGAATACGATGCGACGAGCGAGCGAGCGAGCGAGCGAGCGAGCGAACGAAGGAGAGAAGGATGTAAATATGCCGCGAGCCACTCTCTCGCGGGTTGACTCTCGTTCGGTAAATTATTATTTCCATTACACGCTCTCGACTTAGCGGCGCGATAATGTTTAATGAAGCTGCGGGGCGCTTGAACAATATTCTATATATATCACGCGGGCGGCGCATTACTTAGAACTTGAACAGAGAGGGGACAGGGGGCGGACAAAGAGAGGCAGAGGGAGAGATAACCGCGTGCGCGTATACGCGCGAGATGTCGGTTGTTTAATAGCCGCATAAATAATAAGCCGAGGACGGTGTAAGCGCGTGTGCGTGAACATGAGCGCGACTCGCCCGCTAATAAACGCAACGAAAGTGGAGCGAAACGACGAAACGCCGCGCGTCTAAATATACATCGACTGAATGCGCCGTGAGCTCGTCGTGAGCGTCGTCGGCTCCTGATAACGGCGAATTATCCCCCGTGTTTCGTGCCGGTGTAAGAAAAGAGGGACAGGTACATATACTCGCGGCATACTCGGCGACTCCGCTCACGAGAAAATTCGCGCATGAAGTCGCGATTGGAAGTCGCGAATTACGCCCCGCGAGCGCGCGTATAACACTCGCCGACGCGATTCGTATTATTCCGAGAGAGGAACGAGAGGCAACCCCGACTGTACCTTGCGCGAGAAACGAACGCACACCTTCCCTTCGTGCGTTTAGCTCACTCACCGTTATCGCGCGGGAGCACCGTTCGGCGGACGCGTAATGGCAATAGCCGGGCCCAACCACCGCCGTTGCGACGGAAATCGCTACGAGGACGGATGATATTAAATGACTCGCACTTGCCGCTTGATACTTCGATCGATGTTACCGTCGCGCCGCGTGAGAAAAACGACTCGAGATTGACGCACACGCGTGCGTGCGTGCGGCGGGAGGAGGACGGAGTGCGTTAATAGGGTGCGTTTAGACGCGCGGCCGGGCTTTTTCTTGCGCCAATTATCCGGTGCGACGTGCGACGGCGGCCGATTATCGCCGGCGATGAGTGAGCAACGTGCCAGCAATTATCGATCAACACGCGGCAATTAACGTCGAGACTCGCTCTCGATTGGTTTCGACGGCCTTCCCCGCAGCGGGAGGGGGAAAGACGAACCCCGTCTTGTCCCCCCTTGCCACGCGACTCGAGTCGGCTTTTAAAGACGAGGCGTCAGCGACGTATAAAGCACATTCCAGCCGATGATCTTGTCGCAAAAGTCGTTGTTGATACGTCGTCGTCGTCGTCGTCGTCGCAATTTCTCTCCTAGCACGACTCGATGTCGAATTCGTCGGTAGAATCGGTAAAAGATGCTCAACTAAATTGTACATATCCAGCGATTGCGTTATTATCGCGCTCGCGAAATCGCTCAATGCTCGCGCAAAACGAAGCCTTCTTCTTCTTCTTCTTCTTCTTCTTCTTCTTCTCTCATCATGTTCTTATTCTTCTTACTCTCCGTCTTCTTCTTCTTCTTCTTCTTCTCCTCCTCCTCCTCTTTCTTCTTGTTCTTGTTCTTCTTCGCGTTGGCGTACTTCGCGTCACATTATCGTCGATCGTCGTCCCGGAGGCTTATACAGCACATATTTACGAGCGGCGTGTTAATTGAATCCCGGCGAGAACGATGTAATATTATACCGGTGTTATCGCGTTCGCTAAAAGTGCGACACGCCGAGTGCAGCAAAGTATGCTTGAGGACGAGTGAGAAAAAAGGAGAAAGAGAGTGGGGAAGTGAGAGCGAAAGAAAGAGATGTTTGAAGATAGATAGATAGATAGAGAGAGAGAGAGAAAGAGAGAGAGAGAGAGAGAGAGAGAGAGAGAGAGAGAGAGAGAAAAAGACAGAAAGAGGGCGCGCGAGGAGGGAAAATTAAGTGTGAATGAGCGGTATTAAAATAGGCGCGCGACATTCCCCGCGATAAAGTATCGAAAGTAAGGACGATATCTCGCGGCGGCCGTAAACCGGCCGCGTTATGATGGTGCTACCGCGTAGATAATCTCGCTGAACAAAGTATAAAATGTCCCGCGCCTCGCTGAATCCGCGCGCGAGCGGCTCCTGAGTAGCGCGTTGATAAAACCGTCGTGAGGGGTGTGACATATAAAAGTGATCCTGCGCCGTTGAGTGTCCGCGGGAGGGATCGTTCGGGAAATCCTGTCTCGTCGGGGACGATCAGATTTGTGATTCATTATAATTCTTCCGATCGCTGTGCCGAGACAGAGACCAGAAGAATCGCGAAGCAAAAATGTACTTAGTGCCTTCTTTCGAATTAAGCGTGACGTCGCGTGAGCTTTTCCGAGGTCCGCGTCCTTCCTCTCGTTGCGTTTCTCGAGCGCTTCTTTGATCGGAGGAAGGCGCGCAGTCCTCGGCGATCGTCGAATATTTGCAGGACGATGAACGCGCGGGACGGAAGGAGGTCGTGTCCGCGTTTTGCGCTGAACGCGCGCTGACTCTAAGAATAGACGGAGCGGCTGTGTGCGCGCGCGCGCGCGCGCGCGTTTTCCAATGAATTGTATTAATCGTCAAATTGGTGAGCAGGCTTAATTAAAGCCAATAAGTTAACTATTAAATAATCGTTGCGAATTGAGGCCGACCGTGCCATACGTGCGAGCGTGCGGAAGTCACGGCAGACGTCACAGCCGGACGCTTCTGCGCCGCTCGTCGCCGCGTCTCGCGTCACCGTCCACCGCTGGATCTCGAATCGGCGATCTTCCCGATCGATTTCAATTCCGCACGTTGCACACTCCGTCCGACGCGACGTTACCCCGTCACTCCGACGATACTAATTACGCTCGTGAATGTGGAATGTGCGAATGTGTTGAGGCGGGTCGCGAGACGCGTCGTTCGCGCGCGCGATCCTGCGCGCGATTTCTCAAGATAAGAGCAACCTGTCTTCGCGACAAGAGCCTCCTCCGCAATAATTATGCGTTTTGCGTTTACGTCGGGCAACAACGGAAGCGTGTGCGCGCGTGCGCGTTTAAGCGCGTTAAGGCTAACCGTTAACGAAGCGGCGAGCTCGGCCTGTAACTGTAACTGTTGTACGACTGTTGTGCGGCAATACAATCAATATCTGCGTTTACACACTCGTATTCCTTAGAATACTTTACTTCGCCGCGACACGTTCACTCTTACATGCACACACATGCATACACACATATTATATATACACACGCGACACCTGTCTTCCTTAAGCGCCGTTTTCCAGATGACTGCGCCTACGCCCAAGGTATAAACCGCGTATCGGCGTGAGGACGATACGCAGAATCTGCTCAACCACCCAAGTGCGTGAGCACGTGCGACTATCCGTTTACTCGTTCCGACAATTCGATCGAACAACCGATCGATCGGAGCCGGACACGTTACAGTGAGATCCCCGAGAACGCGCGCGCGCTCTCGGAGCGCGCGCTTGACGCGCGCGACGGACGATCGATCAATAAAGAGGGAAAAGTCATGCGACAGTAAGAGGACGCGATGTGCATTCGTTCATTCATTTCCCCCCAACCACAGCCCCCCCCCCCTCCTTCATCCACCCAACCCTTCAATCTCCCTCGAATCTCCCCCTGATCTGATCGAACGACCTCACTAATAGCTGCCTTTCTGTGTTTTCTCTTTTCCACGGGGGGCGTTAACTAGCAGACAGCTACCAGTACCAGCTGCAGTCCATGTGGCAAAAGTGCTGGAACACCAACCAGAGTCTGGTGCACAACCTGCGCTTCCGGGAACGTGGACCCCTCAAGTCCTGGCGGCCCGAGACCATGGCGGAGGCGATCTTCAGCGTTCTCAAGGAAGGGCTTTCGCTCAGCCAAGCGGCAAGGTACGTTTGCTTAACTGTCATGTGTCTACTACTCGGTGTATCCGATGTATCGGATCAGCCGAAAGGTTCGGTTCGATTTTCCCTTTCTGCGAAAAGGGCAGACGAGACTATCAGAATCGTAGACAACGATGGCGGTTGTGTGATCACTGGAGAATTCGTTTCTACTGAATGAGAGCAAAAGACATGTCTAATCCGAATATCAAACCAAACTTTTCGACAGACCCATTACAAGTCCAACAGCGCCGGGAGGGGGACAAGTCTTTAAATTAATTACATCTACTTTTAAATCCGCGCGTCGTAATCTCGCAATCGTTGCTTTCTACGTTGCGCCGGATTAGATCCGTAAGAGCGCTTCATTTTCGGAGCCGTTGATTAGACGGAAGATATGCGAAAATACTTCGACATTACCGTGTTTAAAACGCTGAAAAAGTTGCCGTTAAAAAATACCGCGCGCATTGATAAAAAGGGGGGCTAGTTTGCACGTCAAGTGAAACATTAATATTAATCGATGAAATGCATCAATTTTTAAAAATATTTCCACGTTCGCCGTCCGACCTGACTTTTACAAAAATTATTTATTTCGTTTAATTGCACTTGTTTTTCGTTGTATTATATATATACATATATATATATATATATATATAATATTAACATACGCGCGTGCGCACGCGTATGTGCAACTGAACGTTGTATAGAGTGCGTTACTTTTAAAAAAATGTATATCGAAATGCTTCCGCGGCGCGTGCTAAAAAAATAATTAACTTAGTCGCAATTATTTTCCGTACACCGCGCATTCAGCACGGTTCCAATAATAAAATTAATAATAACCCCGCGCGGCATATGCAAAATTTCCGCACGCTCGCCTGCGACATTCAACATTAAACAGCAGTGATGAAATGCTAATAATTAAAAAATTTTTAAATTATTTCAATTGCTTATATATCCCAAGAGTCCGCCGCGCCATTAAGGGTCAGAGGCGCATTCTGTTCTTGCACCGTTAATAAATGATACGCAAAAGATAAATACTTTACGCGAGTTTATGCTGCTGTTGTGTTTCCTCCTTCTCCTCCCCTCCACTTCCTCGTCCTCCTCCCTCCCCTCCTCCCCCTTCTTCTCCACCGTACCACACACTCACGCAATGCAACGCGGATAAATAGTTAAAATTGTTATATAAATGTCTTATGATGCGGCTCGTATGATAGAGCCGCCGGTTATTACGCAACGAAGAATTCCGAGAAAATCACCGCATCAGGCGTGCCTTATCGTCGTGCCTGAATCACGCTAAATAATTGACCGATCTGCTGCTCAAAGCGACCGCTTTAACATCATTTTGCAATCGCGTCGTAAAGCCATGTGCGTATCGCGTTTGCGTAACAACGGCTCGCCGTTAAAGAAATTTCTTTCAATTCGAGCGGCAGTGAGAGAGAACTCTCCACCAGGGGAGGCTACTAAAACGCGCGCGGCTTTACGACGCGGCCGAATGATAATTTTTTATGATAATCGATTCGCTGATCGATAACGAATACGAGGTTGTGTGCGCGATTTTGGACGTACGTTTCCGCTCAACGACGAGCGACTCGAGCTGCGCGTCGCAATGGCTCAATCGCTCCTATTGAGTACATTGATATAAACTTCGTCAGAGGCCGAAGAGGGAAAGGGTAGAGCGTGGGGGGAAGGGGGAGCAGAAGGCGATACGATGATGAAAGGTAACGAATAATTATATAAGTGTAAAGCATAAGGCAAGCAAGCCTCATTACTTATTGCTCGCGACGGCGCACCACGTTATTTTACTAAACGCACCGTGTCATCATCGTCAGTATTTCCCCGGGCAGTTGCATAATTTCGTGAGGCGCGTTGCGTAATTTCCATTACCATGCATTCAAATGTGCCTCGTTAAATTTTTCATTCGTGCGCGGGATAGGCCGGAATTAATATAAATTAAAATATATTAAAATAATACAAGACGCGCGCGCGCGCGCGCACACACACACACACACACACACACACACACACACACACACACACACACTCGCGCATGAGACAGAAAAAGCATCCCGAAGTCAAGCCGCGGGAAGAAGGCAAAGGGTGAAGTGAAGTAAGACGGATGCCGCGTGGCGCGTCACGTCGACTACGCGGACTACGTGAAGGCAAACACGCGAATCGCTCACTAACACGTTCCGTTTCTCCCTTTCAGGAAGTACGACATCCCCTACCCGACGTTCGTCCTCTATGCGAATCGAGTGCACAACATGCTGGGTCCTAGCGCCGACGGCGGGGCCGGTGAGTGTTAGTTGCCAGTTTCAGTATCCTCCGAGAACGCCTCCGCTCCTCGATTACGACGCATTGCTCGATGACAACGGCGAGATCGTGCGGCTGAGAGCGAGTTGTTAGCACCAGAAATATCGAGAGGGGGTCTCGACGAAACGAGGACAGAGAGAAGTAGGGAAAAGGAGAGAGAAAGATGAAGAGAGAGAATGAGAGAGAGAGAGAGGGGGGGGGAAGGAGAGAAAGATAGACGACATACGCGCGGTGGTGGTTCGTTCGGAGGGTGAAATCGCCGCGGAAACACGCGCGCGCTGAAGAACGGGAGAAAGGGTAGCGTACAATCGAGGCACGTGAAGAAAAAGTCGCGACGAAGGAAAGATTCCTTGCGAGGCAATAACGATAACGCGGGAGATCACGGGAGAGAACGTATTTTCTCATATTTTATACATTCTTTAATAACATAAGGAGGAGTTTTTTTACATCATTCTCCTAGACAAAGGCGCGACAAAGGAGCGAAGCGACTTCGCGAGAGAAAATTCTCTTTCGTCCTAAGGAAGAGTACGTCGTCATCTCCGAGAGAACCTGCGCATCTTCGAGAGAAAGAAGAGAGAGAGAAAAACATCCGTCTGATTAGCGCGATTTATTCCGCGTCTCTTGATTAAGCGATGAATATTGCATAGACGAGACGAGTAGTCTCTTCGGACACGAACCCAATACCGCGATGCACGAACACGTGGCCGAGCAGGCGTGTTCGATTCTGCCCCGAGAGATGTTCTCTCAGGACCCCGAGTTGACCGCGCGCGCGCGCGCGAAGATTCGCCCGACGGACTGCGACGGTATAGCCAATTGTAAATAGTTGAGCTACGGCCAACGATCGAGAAGAACCGATCCGAAGACTCGGTCGCGCTCGTAAAAGCCGCAATTACATCGCGCGATTACACCGGCGCGGTTACGACCGGATTTTTCAACCCCGACGACCCGGCTCACCCACCCGGCCATCGGATTCATTAGCGTGTCGCACCCTCCGTACGACACACGCACCAGCCGCGACGTTCCCAGCGCGGCGTCGGCCGCTCAAGTTGGCGGGAACTCGATTCGAGCCGAGTTCTCCTCTCCGGAGAACTATCTTCGCCGTTGCGTTCGCGTCCGCGATGAGATGTATCGCGATCTTCGCCGGTCAATACGGCCGCGTGTCTGATCACGCGATTAATTAACGACGCGATGTACCGTGATCTAATAAATAGATCGCATTTAATACGACCGATGTGTGTTAGCAGGAGCGGCTGCCGCGTTTGACGTTAGACATGCGACGTAAGTGGATGATTCATAGAGCTCGGGATGTGTGCATAAATATGTGATTCTCTCACGTGTTATTAATCGAGGATTTATATTGAAAGACCAGCGTTGCACGATCCAATCATTACAATCGCTTGTTTTTATGTTAAGCGTTATTATAATTGCTGCATCATGGATAATAGCTGCACATGCGTACTGCTATTAGTCTCTTGTTGGAACAACAAGAACATATATGGCTGACGCCAAGAAAGACTATAATTTGTAGAGATAAATCATTCTTTCTCTCGGTGTATATATTGCAAAATTCTTTAAACCGCGCTTTAAATCGCTGCGCATAGGCGTTGATGCAAGGAATTCTTAGATTTCCCGCAGTGCGTGCTAATAAAATCGAAGATAAAACACGGAAAACACGCAGCATCCCCGCTGAGAGAAAAAAACGCGGAAGGAGAGAATTCTACCTCGAATCTCGAACAGAGTCGGACTCCCTTCGTCGCGCATCAGGCACGCTTCCGTCCGCGAAAAGCCCCGCGAGCCCGAAAGAGCCTCGTCGACGATCTCGCCCGCGCACTCGCGACTCCGCAGAATTCCAATTCCGTGGCGGGTTGAAGTATCGCGAGGTGAACGAGCAGCGGTGGGCCTTCACGATAACGCACGATCGCAGAACCGACTCGCAGTGAAACGAATTTTTTTTTTCCTTCCCCGTCCGCTCCCTCCCCGCCTCGTCCTTTTCCCACCGGCCGTCTGCGTTCCACCTGTAGATCTGCGCCCGAAGGGCAGAGGAAGACCGCAGAGGATTCTGCTAGGCGTCTGGCCGGACGAGCACATCCGCGGCGTGATTCGCGCGGTGGTGTTCCGCGACGGGCACTCGCCGCACATCGTCAAGGAGGAGCCGACCACGATGTACCCAAGCCTGGCGAACTACGCGGCCTGCAACGGCCCGGAAGGCGCGGTCAGTCCCGGCGCGGCGGCCGCAGCCGCGGTCGCAGCGGTCGCTCAAGGTAACTCACGCGCACTGCATTCGGCTAAGGCGGATGTGAGAAAGTGACGGAACGTCGGCTGCTTCCGACCCGCAGTGGGAAGGAGTCGCGTGGCTTGGTCGATTAGGAACTCGAAGAGTTGGAGAAACGTGCGAGCAAGTCGCACGTCGCACGAATGTCAACGATTCCCTCCGTGGTTGCAAGATTTAGAAAATTTGCAGAAATTTTTTAGAAACACTTGAACACATTTTCGCTACACCGAGACGCACTATCAGCCTTTC